TGCTAAGATGTTAAAGCGGGCACTACAACTGTTAAATACTTGTAATTAAAAAGTATAAATAGCTATTAAAATAATTTCTGTAATCGGCCAGTTGTTGAGTTTATCCGTTACATAGAAAAATACAAATCTTTCCTCTTCATATTAGTAAAGATTGTAATTAATTAAAAATGTGATTAGATAAATTTGCTGACTACAAACTACATTACATATAGTATGATAATTCTGATAACGCCTTATTTTTGACACGATTCATTACACACTAAAAATTAATGATTAGAAAATATTCAATATTGATTATATAAGTATTTATATAAGGGGAAAAGATTTATTTGCGCTATGAAACTACACTTTAGTATAACTAAATTGTCCTTTACTTCTATGAAATAAGAATCTGCTATTTTCTTTCAAATTAGGTCTTATTATTTGCACCAATAGGCACTGTAAGCGAGTAGGCGACTAGTACTAAGCTAAGTTCTTAGCTATTAAATAGCTTCTGAAAGCTTAGCCTATAACCTGTTTATACTCAGTTCTGACAGTTTCATCTAAACAATGTAACCGTAAAGTAAAAACTGTACATGTGGGCAAAACTTTAAGCGACAGTTGAACTTTTGGATTAATCCCAACCGTCACCCCGCTCTGTCCCCACTTGAGACCAGATGAGAATAAAAACTTTCATCCGTCCCACCTTATGCGACGTGACGGTTGGAACTTATTTTATTTCATAACGGTTCCATCTGTCACCTTATTGGTGTTAGTGAGACTAAAAAGTGGGACGGGACGGGGACGGGGGATAGATCGGGGTGACGGTTGGGATAATCAGAACTGTTCAGTTATAGTATCTTAGAAATGCAGTTTAATTGAACACTAATGTCTGAACGTACGTAACAAGTACATTTTAGGTTTATTTTGCGTCTAACACTGGCTTCAATTCAAGGGCAAACTGAACGTATGTGTAAAGTTCTAAGTTCTTTATGTTTCTAAAATACGATAGTTTACAAAAGTACCATCGTTAAGTTGCATTTGGCGTCATGATCCCGAATCTCGCAGAATTAGTTTGTGCTATATATTACGAACCTGTACAAGATTACGTATTAACATTGTTATCTCTTAATTCTAAAGATAATTTTATAAATCTCTTGTCTGCAACATTATGTAATCTTTAATTTACGTTTTTAGGTAATTAGCTGATTTTATAAAGAGGAAAGATAAGTTTTATATGTAAAGAAAAAACTCAAAACTAATGAATTGATTTTAAAAGTTCCTTTACCAGAAAGCTACGTGTACTTTTGTTAGTGGACGCCTACGGTAATATTTCCACAGCAATCCTTACGACTTATAGTTCTTTCATGTTAGTTTTAAGATAAATTATCACACTATCCGTATATCCATTGTTTGTCAAGCTAAAACGAAGAGTTTTTATTATTCGTAACGATTTATTAACACTTTAAATGGTCGCCTTGTGAATTCACTTTCGTCATAACTATAGTACGATCGTGTTAACAAACGGCGTCTTAAATTATAACCCACGCTCACTTCACCATGTTATCTATATTATAAAGGGGAAAGATTTTTATTTTTGTATATATTGAAATAACTTAAAAACTACTGGGCCGATTTTAAAAATTCTTTCACCGTTAGAAAGGTAATATATCTGTGAGTAGTCTATATATTATAAGGAGGAAAGATTTATATTTTTGTATTTTTGTATGTATTGAAGTAACTCAAAAACTACTGGGCCGATTTAAAAAATTCTTGCACTATTAAAAGCTTCTTATCAAAGTAATATAGGCTGTATTTATACTATTTTAATTTCAAACGGACGAAGTCGCTAGCAACAGCTAGTATTATATAAAGTAATATTATATGATTTTAAGACTGTTTATAGTGTTTCTTACCTGGACAGCAACAGCGAGGGCGAGTAAAGCGATTGCGAACTTCATGTTGGAACAACGTACGAGCCGGGAGTAATTTTAATTAATGATAACACAATATTAACATTTGTCTATATATCTTTAGTTTATCAAGGCACAGGAAACTAATATGATAAAATAATTTAACATAACTTTTTGATCCGAAGATAAAATTGTAATTAAATACAATTATCGCCACGTTGTACTTCTTATCTGAACCGATTTCTAAAACTGATTTCTTATAATTGGGTTTTTATAACGATTAATTAAAATAAAACCATCAAAATATATAAAACTAAAATACGGTTTCTCTTGCCTGTAGATTTATATTTTTCTAGCTATGAGTTTAAAATTTAAAAAAAAAAAACCCTTACCTACTGAATCATTACCTACCACGGCCCAGTTGGATGAAGAACACCGCGGGGTTTAGTGAGCAGTCCGGCCGAAATATAAGACCGGGAGTCCCACACGATACTGTCCATTCTGCACGCAGCGCGGACGGTGCAGTTGCGTTAATGTATTCCCCGCGACAAAAAAAAACCTACTGAATAGTTTCTCGTTAAGGAAAGTCCCCAGTCTAATATGTATTTTAATTGTTAACGTGAATAAGAAAAAAAGGCGATCAAAATTTTCTAAAAGTACAAATTTTAATTAAAAAGCGACCTACGCAATACCGTCGAGCACTGTTTGACATCGTTTTTGGGCTATAAAGTGGGGCCTTAATTTTTCTAAAATTTTTATGCCCTCGGCATAATTTTTAACATTAAAACGTCTACAGTAACATCAAGTTATACCTCTTAGTATAACGGGAAATCTTCAAAAAAAAACCCTGTCTTCTAGGGGAAGACAGGGTTATGTGTAGTTTGACGCACTAAAACCGCTTAGGTGTCCAGTTTCTAGTGCAATAGAAGGTTCTAGACTCCATGGAACTCACCTGAACTCAAGGAAAAATATACGTACTTGTTATTGCCAGCATTTTTTTACATTTTTTTGTTAAACTTTGCATGGATATGTAACATTCTTTTTAAATAGTCCAGAACGAAATGGTTAAAGACCTCACAGAAAAATGGCATAAAATGGAAAGAATTTAGACATCTGTCATTTTTCTTTCCATCTTTTTTGTACAAGGGATGGATGGGAAGGGGAAATGTATTTGACAGTCGAAATTACATGTTACTTCGTTACAAACATCAAAGTTTTACATCGCCTTATGTACACTGGGAATAATAGGGAATATCCATGTACTTTTTTTCTTTTTTTAAACGATTCTACTTGTTATAAAATAACCACAAAAAAAATTGACGCGAAAATATTCAACCATTGAGCTAAAAATAATAAAATATCTTCGAGCGACTAAAACGCGACCGGAGTTGTCAATAGACAATTGACGTCAATCGTCTATTCCATTCATAACATACGCTCAGATGTCACTTCGACGTAAAACACAACAGTGTCTCAAGGTCAAAAAGTCAAAAATCGATTCATTTTTATTATTCCTGGTACAAATAAGTGTTAATTAATAATTCTATTCATTAATTTTTTATTTTAAAGTTGGTTTTAATATCGTGTTTACAGTAAAATACTTCAAGAGCGTATTTCTATATAAACTAACGTAAATGAACTGTGTATTGTCAACACAGCGACGCCATATTAGATAAGCCACTTGCTTCGACCAGTAGTGTGCGTTTTAGAACTTAGCGAGGGAATTTGAAAAAAGACACTTTTTAATGATTAAATTTTGCCACTAAATCACATGATATTTAAAAAAATCTTTGCAGGACTGTTTTTATACTAAAAAAGTATATTTAAAAAAAGTTTGGTACAATTTGGCGTCATATGCATATTGCCTTATTAAAAGAAACTCATATCACAATAATATAAATGTATTTAGTATACTTCGTTAGACTTACAGCAATCAAAAAATAAACTTTTACATACTAATAGCTTAACATTGTGTTCGAGATATTGCGTACAATTAAATTTAAATACACTTAGAGAAATTAAGTTACTGCTAAAAAATTAAAAAAAATTATCAAATCTTCAATTCTTTAACACTTCAAACGGAGTTACGACGCTAACATTTTCCTTTCTCCCCATTTTTAGGACTTTTAGACCAGGACCTGTTAGGTTCCCCCTCTCTAGGTAATGACCAACTTTTAGATCGTCGTTTAGGCGTGCTTAATTCTTTATCTTGTCCGTCTGTCCGTTCGTCTTGTTTAGGTGTGGTCGTACGCGGTCTGGTCTTCGATCTACTCCTAGACTTGGTCCTGGAACGCCGGCTACGAGATCTAGATCGCCTACGTGACCTAGATCGGCTATGGGTGGACCTGTAATGTGATAGACGAGTTATTACCACAGAGGAACTTTAAATAATCAATAAGGGATTCATCATCATCAACTTGCCCTTATCCCTTACGGAGGGTCGGCACAGTAAAATAAATAAAATAAAATTATGGACAAACAGACTGCTAATATATTTATAATGACTGAGATTTTTAAGATAACGTATTGCAAGTATTATTGGGAAGTGTGATAAGATGCAATAAATGATTATATAATTAATACGTCCGGTTTTATTATTGCTAACTTGATTTAAGGTCCATTTACACGAAACAATTCGTACAATGAATCTATACTAATATTATAAGGAGGAAAGATTTGCATTTTTAGAGGTTTTAATATTGCTAACTTGATCTAAGGTCCACGAAACAATTCGTTCAATGAATCTATACTATTAGGAAGAAAAATTGCATTTAGATGTTTGTATGTATTGAAATGACTCAAACACTACTAGACTGTTCTTAAAAATTCTTTCAAGATTAGAAAGGTAATTCTATGAGTAACATAGGCTATGTTTTTTATTATTTTTTTAATCTCACGTGGAAAAAGTCGCAAGCAACAGCTAGTTACTTCTAAAATTATTGCATATACAGTTTATATCACAAAATATTTAGAATATGACGCGTTATAAATACAATTTAATTGCTAAGGGCAATAAACTTACGTATTACAAAAATCAAAGTTACTCACTTAGATCTCCTTCTTGAACTGGATCGTCTACTTCTACTTCTTGATCGCCTGCTGCGTGATCTTCTACTTCTGGATCGTCTACTTCTAGACCGCGAGCGGGAATATGAGCGGTGTCGGGAACGCGAACGTGAACGCGAACGCGAACGCGAACGTGATCGCGAACGTGATCGCGAACGTGAATTCGAACGCGAGTACGAACGGTGAACGTGCATGCGATCACAGTGGCTGTTCCGTCCCTCTTGTGCTGTTAACTTCTTGAAGTATCTATAAATAGAATTGAAATTTTAACTTGTGTTCTGTAAAGACTAGCTGTTCCCGTGCGGCTTTATCCGCATGTAATTTTGAAAATTTCATTTTATTCTTTACATTTGACAATTTATCAATTGCAAATGTCAAAAAGACATGACATCATGACAAACCATGGCAACCTTGCTTCCTCGATGTTGGCAGCATGTCCATTTATTACCCAATTTATTTACCCCTAAGTTTAATAGCGTGAAAATGTAATATATAGCCTAAAGCGTGACGTAAGTGTATGGCTTTTTATTAAAAATAGGATTATTCAAAAACATGCTGTGATTGCTGACATCTTAGGCAACAAAGAAGAGTGTGTTTATGCTTTATTATAATAGTATAGATGATTTATGCTTTAACCTTATCTTGTATATGTTGGGAATAATTCTGATTTTATGTGTAGTATGTAAAGAGATTCAAAAAATAAAGAGAAAGCATAGTTGATACTTCACTTAGACATTTTTCTTGAGACCCAGTGATAGAGATGGTAAGGAGTAAAAGGTTAGTTATAGTATGGGCATGTTATGAGGAGGGATGAATCGCTTGTTACAAAACGGACGTTAGTTATGAGTGTGGAAGGGTACATAGGTAAAGGTAGACCTAGAAAGAGATGGATGGATTGCGTGAAAGGTGACATGATCAAGGGAGTGATGACTGAGATGACATATGTTACGAGGACAAAAACCTGT